ACATACCTGACTTCAGTCAATAACCTTATTGACTCATCATGGAGCTTGAATTTCACAGATCCAATACCTACAATTTTGCAAGATTTTTTGTTTCCCAGCAGCACAGATCCACCATCTTGATCACATAGCTCCTCAAACAATTCTTCGTTTGGAGTCATGTGCCAAGTGCAACCAGAATCCATAATCCACTATTTTCTCGAGTCGCCACTTAAAACCACAAGAACATTAGATGAGTCGAAGTCATCTTGAACAATGGTTGCATTGTCATTACCTCCATGATCTTTCAGGAGTTCAGGGCACACCTTTCTTGTGTGACCCTCCTTCTTACAGTGATAACATCGAATACCAGATGTTTCACCACTATAAGATTTCTGTTGACTTTTACCTTTCTTCTTATCGAACTTACCATCATTTCACAAGAATTTTCCCTTAACGGTCAAACCTTCGCCCATCGTCAAAGGTTTATGCTCCTTTCGTTCGTTCAACTCCTTAGAATACAAGGCTGATTGAACTTATTCAAAGGCTATGGACTCCCTTCCATACAAGAGAGTTTCTTTAAAGTGAGCATATGTTCTGGGCAAAGCACACAGCAACAACAATACTTGATCTTCATCATCGATCTTCACATCAATATTTTCAAGATCAAGAATCAGCTTGTTGAACATATCCAACTATGCAGCCAACACTTTGTCTTCACTCATCTTGAATGAATACAAAGCTTGCTTGAGGTAGAGTCGATTCACCAGATATTTGGTCATGTACAAACTTTCAAGTTTCATCCATAATCCCGATGTTATAGTCTCCTTTGATACTTTTCGAAGAAACTTATCACCAAGGCTCAACAATATTGCATTGTGGGTTTTCTCAATCATGCCTGTATTTTCTTTTGTCGTTAGTGCAACGTCCATGGGTGCCTCTCCCTTTAACGCTTCCAAACAATCCTGCTCAACCAGTAGGACTTTCATCTTCAAGCGCCACAGACCGGAGTCGTTCACTTCGGTGAACTTTTCAATCTCATACTTTGTTGAAGGCATCTTCTCCATGCTCACCGCACCAATTTGTTGTGAACCAGATTCCTTGAAACAAAATATAAACAGTTTTTTATGATCAAGAAACACACAAGGGTTAGGGTTAACAAAGAAAACAAGGTAAAACAACAAGGAACAACAAGGATTGGTTATAAACCGTTATTCTTTCATTTATCTTAGAACAAGATTATAAGTATACAAGAATAACAAATAACCTCTCTCGCTTGAAATTAGGATTTTATTTTCCTTATGCCAAGATTGAGAAACTAGCATCCTATTTATAAGAAAAACAACACACTAACCTAATGGGCTTTTTAACAATTACTCATTACAAGCTAACTTAGGATACAAGCCAACTTAAACAATTGGGCTTACAAGAAAGGCCCAATTCAACATGTTAACAACTCTAGCAATATTGACTAATGCATGTTAGAACAAACTTCGACTACAACACGCATTACTCTGATAGCAGCATGCAAACATACTTCAACCTCATGCTTAATTCATGTCAAACCAGAAGCTACCCTTCGACCATACTAGAGTTTGATCCAACATCTCACAAAAGCAATAGAAATTTTTATAAGAAGGTGAGCAATTATCATAAGATAATACAAAGGAAAGAGGATATGCTATGGTAGGAGAAAAATAATATGATGAGGATGTAAATGTTTGGAGAGAGTGATAATCTTCCAAGTAAGAGGGAGGGCGGGAGATTCTTTGAGTAATGTCTAGGTAAGGATAGGACAAATTCATATTCTACAAGGAAATGTGTGAAGAATTGGTGCATTAGATATGGACATGCCATGTTTATGGGGGTCATGGACATAGTAAGTATTTGATGACTCATGCAGATTATGAGTTGGTATGGCCAAATCATTGTCTTAAGGTACATATTGGTCTGTATGTGAATCAGAATTATGAGTTGGCATGGGTGGGTCATTAGTTGAAGGTACATTAAGTAGGTCAGCGGGATTAGTGTGAGGTAGTATTTTATCAAGACGAGGAATATAATTTGAGAAGTTTTAAGGGATAGTTTCAGATATATAGACTTATCAGTGTGTTTAAAGGAAAAAATTACTCATAGTAAATGACATTTCTATAGAGGAATATACAATAGTTTGGCAAGTCATACAAGATAAACCCTTTGGTGCTTTCATTATATCATGTAAATACATGTTTTATTGCTCAAAAGTCAAACTTTGTTTTATTGGCTTGCATAGTGGTTGCATAGCATAAATAACCAAAGACCTTTAAATGCATATATATGGGATGGATTTTAAAAATAAGTTTATAGGGACTTTATGATTTGAGAAGAGGGGTGGGTAGTTTATTATTGAAGTTGATAGCATGTTGCACACAAAAATTTCACACTGATAAAGGTGTATTTGAATGGAAAATAAGGGACCTAGCTACATTAATATTTTTTTGGTGTTTTCTTTCCACTGTACCATTTTGTTGGGGTGTTTTAGGTTAAGACTTATGGTGTAGGATACCTTTGGTTAAAATGAAAGGTGTTAGGGTGAGAAGCTCAATTTCATTGTCTAATCTTAAGCACTTTAAGGCTGTTTTGAATTGGATTTCAATGTAAGATACAAAATTAATTATGCTAATTTTTTTAGTCTTTGGTCTTAAGGAATATGACCCATGTATATCTAGTGAAGTCATCAGCTAAAGTTAAAAAAATATCTTTGACCTAGAATAGATATAGTGGAGTAAGGGCCCTACAAATCAGCATGAAGTAAGTCAAAAGGAGACATAGTATGCATATTATTATACGGAAAAGACAATCTTATCTATTTTGCATTATGACAAGACTCACAAGGGTCGAAATTAGGCTTACAAAATATAAAATAAAAAATTCGATAAATATCTTTCAAACCTACATCAAATACATGTCATAACCTTGAGTGCCAACGTTCATGTGAGTTATTATCAACATAATTACAAACTGTTGGATAACTAGGAGATTCTAGAATGTATATGCCTTTTTGTAGGTTTGTTATACCAAACATTTGCTTGGAATGATTCTGCATGATATGGTAAACATTATTAAAGAAGAATATGTGACAATTAAAATCAATAGTTAGTTTGGCTACAGAAACAAGATTAATAGTAAATGTAGCTATATACAATACATTATGTATAGTAATATATGGGGAAATTACAACGCTACCAGATATGCAAGCATTAATTTGGGATCCATTAGACTAAGTTACATAAATAGGATTAATGGTGTGATATGTGAGAAAAAAGTGTAAGATTTAAGTGGTGTGATCAGTGACACCTGTGTCAAGAATCCAAAAGGTGGAAAACTTAACATTTTGAGGGTAATAATGTGTGGCCAAGACAAGGGGGTACTAGTAATTGAGTTGGTCATGGGAGTGAATTGAGTTCTTGACTTTGTAACAACTTCATGTGTTGTTGTACTACTCTTGTGTGATACTAAAACTTAGGCTTGTTGAAGTTGTAAGTGCGTGATCATAAACATTGTTGGCGAAGAAGCGATCTTTGGTTTGTTCTTAAACCCATGTGGATATCCATGTTTGACAAAACAAGTCTAAATCATGTGATTGGTGCAACTATAGTACGTGCATACACGGATAGGCTTTAAGAAAGGGGATTTGTCTTTGAAATTAGGGTTACAAGTTTTGTTTCCACCATTGGACGAACTTTAATATATCTGTAAAGTAGGCAAAGTAGATGTAGGTACCATTGTGTCAAGTGAAGGCAGATCCATAGAAGAAAGGGAAGTCATTTCGTGTTCCTGTTGAATCACCAAAGAGAAAGCTCGATCAATATTTGGTAAAGGGTGTATCATCATGATTTGCGATTTGGAAGATGAGAATTATAAATTGAGGCCTTTCAAAAACGAATAAAATTGTCTTGCTTGCGATAACTTTTGACGGGTGTAATGGCTCCACATGAACAAGGGATTGCACAAGAACGAGTGAGAATTATGCAATATGATTCTAGTTCATTCGAGAAAACTTTAAGCTGAGTAAAGTAATCAAAAACAGTTATGGTACCATAGTGGAATTTGTAAAGGCCCAAAGAATGGGTTTGGCGATTGATTCAGAGATTAGCCGAAAAAGCCAAATAAGAACTATGGTGTTGCATCGTGTGCGTGGAGAAGGTCAATATGTAAGGGATTTGTGAGGGTTCCATCAATGAAATGATGCTTATTCTTTGAAATTAGAGCAATCTATATTAATCTTGACCACGTGTGATAGTTCTTGACATCAAGAAGGGGTGAAACAAAAATAAGAGTTGAATTTTTATTTAGGTGAAGATAGTAAGGGTTTGTGAAATTTGTGACGAAGTTAGAGTAGCTTAGGGTAGCTATTGAAAAAAGATAAAGAGAATCAATAAAGGTTGAAGATGATTAACCATGAATACCAAAACATGTATGCTCCAGATATCATATTAATGTTAAAAAACCCTAGATAAAGAATAAAGTGAAACTCATCCTCATTCAATAGAAATAATACCTCTTACATCAGAAAATATAGATAGCATTACCTTTATAATTATAAGCTTAGCACTACTATCATGAGAAAATTAAAGTTGACTTAAATATAACTCTAACAAACTACTAATCAAAAGACGAAAGAGGAAAGCTAAATGGGCCTAGAAATAAGGACTAAAAGCAAAGTAAGAAGAGCCCAATATACTTGACAAATGGAGTTCCAAAGCTTCTTCCACATGAATAAATTGAGAGTTATGAAGATAAGGTATTTGAGCACAATCTATATTTACTTATATTTCTTGGAGTATATATTGTTATTTAATTTAGAAAAATGATTAGAGTTCCAAGAATTAAACATAAATACAAAACTGTAATTACAAAACATAAATAATAATATGTTCTGAACTTCAATTACACAAAGCTAACACATCTCTAACACCCATTCATACAAACAAAATCAAACAATTAATTAACAAATCTTATTCTATTTTGCATCATCATCATCATCATGCTAAACAAGGCTTGAATGTGCTCACCACCTTCCTCACTCTATCCGCCATTGAAGTACAAGACACAACACCATCATTCCCAGCCAAAACCCTATACTTATCTTTCCTCGTAAAGTTAGTACACTCAAACCCTAACGTTGCAGCCAATATCCTCTGCACATAATTAGCCACATCATGTGGACTCTTCCCGGCCGAACACGTCGCTTCGACCGGCAACTGGTTCAAGAACGTAACCTCATAAACCGGCCTAGGGTTCATAAAGAAGAAAACCGGGTCCAAACCCTTCCACCCTCTTGCCGTTGTTGCATGGAAGAACCCTACTCTATAGTTCATCGCAACCGGTACTATCCTATCAGTTAGTTCCGCGAACAAGGCGCTGAAGCGTAAAAGAAAAGGCTCGCGGCACGTTGTTCCTTCTGGACAAACAACTAAATCTCCTTTGGATAGCTCGTATTTGATTCTTTCCGCGTCCACGTTTCGCATCCTTGTTAGCCTCACGGTGGGGATGGGGGAGAGGAGTTCGGAGAATCGAGATATGGAGTATGTTACGGCCGGAACTTGACGTTTGAGGACGGAGGAGAGGACGACAGGGTCCATTAGAGTGCGGTGAGTGCAAACGAAAAGGACGCCGGAGCTACCGGTGGAAGGAGGGAGAGGTGGCTTTCCTTTCACAATAACTTTGCCACCAAATAACTTTGACATGTGAGGTATAGCCCAAAAGGGTAAAGTAGCTCCCAAGGTTAACCGGAGTATGGCTAGTAGAACACCTATGGGAATCCAAAGAATGATTAGTAGGGAAGTGGACGCCGTCGGCCGCTTCACTAATCGCCCGTCATGGAAGATCACCGGATGCGGTCGGAGAAGTTTGTCGTCGTTGTACTTTTGGTTTTTCATAAATGGTGGCTGCTTTTGTTCCTGCACATGCACATAAAAGAAAAATAGAAAAATATATTTTCTTTAGGTTAAATTCTGATTATCGCGCAATGACTGCAATCGCAACACCTGCAGCTGTAACCGCAACCCATAATTTAAAATTATGGGTTAAATAAATAATTATAATCAATAGTTACCTTGCAAAGCTTCGAGAAGGAATGATTTCTTGATGTAGTAGTACTAAGCCTTGCCATACCCAAAGTAGGAACTTCATTATTAAAAACTTTAGCAACTCTTTCAGAAACCGTTGTAATAGAATCACTTTGAACAAACCCTGTTGCTAAACCAAACCTATTGAAAACCAATTCACTCCCAATAACTTCATCCGCACGTAAGTGTTCCTTAACAAACCTCTCCACCAAAACTCGTGGCATTTTAGTTACGACAACCCTTTTATCATAGAAACTAAACACTCTCCAAGCTTCCATGTCAAGATCATCCATGTAGAATTTCGGCAAAACCGCTCTTGAAACCGATTCGATCTCAGATTTATGAATTCCACCAACTGCTATGAATATCATTAGCTTGAGACTTATCTCTTCCATGCCGACGATGTCTAGGATTCGAATCACGGGCCATAGGACTAATAGCAGAACGAAGCGAATCAAACCTGAAGCTTCGAATGCTACTAACATGAAGTAGGAGAATATGTCTAGGTTTTTTAGAAGTGTGCCTTCGAATTCAGAGACAACAGAATCCATTATATGAATATTCTGTTATGAAATTTAGTGTTTGTGAAAAATAATAAATGATGTTTTTGTTATGAGAATATTTTATATAGTTTAAGATGTTTATATGATATACTTATGGTTTAATGTTATGTATTATATATAAGATAAGATTAAGGAAATGAGGTTTGATTTATTTGACTTGTCAATTTTGCTTTGGACTATAAGGCAGATTAACTGTTTTTCAACCACCCTTTTTTTGTTTTCTCTATAATGTTTTTGGGTGGATATATTAGCGAAGAAAATGGAGGAATAAAGCAACGTTTATTGGCAATTTCTGATTACTTAACACCAAAGATAAAAAAAAAGTACGGTAGATGGCTAATTTTGGACACCTAATTAAAACTGGCGCTTCTAATTTTTTGTAGTTATTTAGGTTACTTACCAATATTTTAAGTGTAGCGTACGTATCATTTGCAATACTCTCATTTTGTACGTATAATTGTATAACATAAGAAAAACCAAACTAGAGGTTGGATGCAAGTGGTTAATATATTTCATTTAATTTGTATACTTCATACCAGATAATGATTGGTAGGTTAACGAAGAACATTGTGGAGATATTTTCGGTGTATGATGGTCATCATTTTTTTTATTGCAAAGGTTACTGTAAAATAAACTAGCACTCCGAGGCTCAATTCAATGTGAGATTGAGGTGCAGTTATGAATTGAATTATATATATATATATATATATATATATATATATATATATATATATATATATATATATATATATATATATATATATATATATATATATATATATATATATATATATATATATATATATATATATATATATATATATATATATATATATATATATATATATATATATATATATATATATATATATATATATATATATATATATATATATATATATATATATATATATATATATATATCGTTCAGAGTTATATTTATATAGAAAAGTACATTTTAATCGTCTCTGGATTGTCTCATATAGAGTGTGGATGGCTGTTGGATGAAGATTAACGACTTATGATCAAAGGAGAGGTGTGCTCTTGTGCAGCATGTAACGCAAGTCTACTTGTACGACAATGAGGTGAGTCCCTGATAAGAATTAAGCCTATGTGGATTGGGTCGTCTTTGTTGACCGTTGGCCAACCCAAAAAAATTGTCCTCCAAATCCTTGCTATCAACCATGATACGAGAATTATTGATGTAGAAATAAATGATGCCAACCTAGGAGCAATTACATGGGAAACATGCACACTTAATGCAGGTTGGGTTGAAGAAATGTTTCTATGACAAAGGCTTCAATGTGTCACATGTGCTTAGGGTAAGAAGACGATAAACCGAGGCCCATTTAAGTGTAATTAATAAATTGAGACATTATTTTTGTCCTTAGATAGTGTAACACTCGAAATCCTGAAACTTATATATAAAGGATTATTCGAGAATTTAAAGTGTTATCAACGACAATCATTCAACATAGCATGGACATTTTGAAAACATGCTGAGGAAAAGTAAAATAACATATAACAGCTATCATCGCATGCTCACCATCACTTAGGGTGTCATCGCAGGAGAATCACATTAATCGCAGTAATAAAACATGTTAACTTCAATTTGGATCTTATAAAGAATTAATTTTCACAAAATTATTCAAAAGAAATTTCAATATCCAACTCTCATCAACTTCAAAATAACTCAACATAATAATTATTAAACTTCAGAAAAACAAGTAATTCTACATCAAACATAATAAAAGAAAATATTGTTCGCCCCTAGTGTTATAGAATTAGAGCATAACGACTAAAAAAAAAATAACTAATGAAAATAACTCCAAGAGTTATTTCTCACTCACAACAGTAACTCTACTCCTGAGTATCTGAAAGATGTCCATAGTGGACATCATCAAATAAAACGGAGTAAGAAATTACATCAATAATTTAACTGCATAAGCTGCAAGGTAGAATTGAAACATCTACACATTCAACAACAATCACACAACATCATTTTCACACTCAATTCATCAACATACACAAAGCAATCACATACTCATCATTTAAATTATGCAATGAGACTCACAACTTTTACCAAACTCAAATGCATGGGGTACCACATCATTATCAATTGGTTCACTCAAGAACTAGATCACACTGCTCAAACCTTGAATTCACCCTGCTCGAATTTAGGACAAGTCACCAGTCCACCATGCTCGGATTGCAACTTGCCTCTTAAATTAACAACAACGACATAATGAGTGCATGTCACAACATGTCAATGCAACAACAACATAATATTTAAAGTCCCCTCCCAAAAATATACAAAATATGCATTGACCCAACAGTAATAGTTCCCTTCTCGTACTATCATCCTACACAACTTACACACAATTCAACAACATAATTCATTCTCATACAACAACATATCATTATCACAATTCACAACAATTAACACAACACAATCATAACATGCACACATATCCATCATTCATAAAAAAAACTCATAGATTAAGTTAAAATCATGTTTAATCGTTAAGTCATATCAAAACATCATTTAAACAGTAGCTAACACAGTATAACAATACCCAAAACATTTATAAAAGTTAAAAATTCGGAATCTGCAACAAAATATCACCAAAACGTGAATCTGCGCTCACTACAGACTCATGATAGATTACCCGTCACGGCCGCGGCGTCCGTCACCGACCTCAACACTTCAGAACGTCACATATATGATGAATGGCTTCGAAAACAAACCTAGATAGCATGACAGGTTTACTCGTCACCAGCGTGACACCCGTCATTGACCTGCGCGCTGCAGAATTCATCTTCTCTAATGGAGTTTACTACATAACTCCTATTTCTCAGTCCAGGAATACAAAATCGATACAAAATATTAAAAATATATTACATACTCATCAATAACATCTAAATGCATCAAATCAACACCCTTTATTCATGGCTTTTGTAAAATCATATTATTCTCAACATCTTCAAAATAACAACAATGGTGAATATATGTTAACTCATTAAATCAGAATGTATCATACATCATAACACACGAATTTCACCATCAATCATCATCACATAAAAAAACTCAATCATCAATAACATAATTATGTTAAAATCCCAATGCCCTATTGGAGGTTAAGGATTCCTTAATTCCAACCCCCATGTATATTCCTGTTATTGCCATAGTTTTCCTCCTAACCTGGTGATCCTAGCAACAGTGCAAGAATTTTGGTTTTTGATTCTCTAATCCCCTCCAAGTTCTAAGGTTTCTCTTGTCATTTCTCTAGCCTACTCTCTATTCTCCAATTCTGGTTATATGTACTGATAAAACTCCCTAAAACTAGGCTATGCTCCCAATTTAAATAATTAGGATAAATCTTACTATAGTTCTAATTCTGCCCCAAACTTTTATTCCTGTTACTCCTTCATCCCTTCTACTTCTCATAATTCACATTTTGGCCTCAAATTTTTTATTTTCTATTAAACTAAATAAATTTAATAAAATACTATTATTTTAATTATTAAAATAAACTCTAATAATTTAATCAAGCTTTACTAGCCTCTAACTACTCTCAGCACTCTCACCTCAATGTCACATACCCCCGCTACCCTTATTTATTTAATTAGTATTACCCAATAATCAAATAAATATACAAAAATTATACTAAATTAGATAATTTCAATAAATCAAAAACTAGGGTCTTACAACTTTCTCCCACTTAAATAATTTTTGCCCTAAAAAATTACCTTAAGTAAACAGATTCAGATACAACTCCTTCATCTGACTCTCAAGCTCCCAAGTCACGTTTCACCAGCTGGTCCTCCCCCAAACTACCTTCACAATGTTATCTTTCACGTGCATATCATCCACTTGGATCACATGATATGGATCCGTAATGTATCTCCTTAACTAGCATACATGAAAAACACCATGACAGTTAGCAAGCGATAGTGGGAAATCAATCTAATAAGCCACTTTTCCTATCCTCTGCAAAATCTGGTACGGACCCATGAAACGTACAGACTGAGCTTTAGAGACTTCAACTCTCGACCAAACCTAGTTATTGTAGTAACTCTCAGAAACATGTGATCCCCCTCTTGGAATAACTCAGGTGTTTTTCTTCACTTATCATGATAGCACTTCTGGAAACTCTACGAAATTATCATCTTCTCTTGGATCACTTTGATCTTCTATGTGGTTTATTGGACAATCTTTGGTATAATCACGACGCCCTCTCCCGACTCATACCAATATAAAGGTCATACACCTCCTACCATACAATGCTTCAAATGGTGTTATTCCAATGCTCGAATGTAAATTGTTGTTGTAGTTAAACTCGATCAACAGTAAAAAAGTTGTCCCAAACACCTTATTATTCTAGAACACATGTCCTCAACAAGCCTTATAAGGATTGGATAATTTTCTTTGTCCATTTGTCTGCGGGTGATAAGCAAAACTCAAACGTAGCTTCTTACGCAGATCTTTCTACAAACTCCCCAAGAACCTCGACGTAAACCTCGGATCCCTATCAAATATAATAATGGACGGAATCCCATGTAAATTGATAATCTTTTAAACATACAACTCTTCTAGCCTCTCCAATGGACAGTTAAGTCGAATTAGAATGAAGTGATCCAATTTAGTCAACCTATCCACAATAACTCAAATGGTATCACAACTCTTCACTGTTTGTGGTAAATTAGACACAAAGTTCATCAAAATGTTGTGCCATTTCCACTCAGGGATATACAACGACTTCATCAAACCCAACAACTTTTTATGCTCAACTTTTAACTTCAGGAAAGTTAAATATGCATAAATAAACTCAGCAATTTCCTTCTTCATTCCTGGCCACCAAAACATCTTCCTCAAGTCATGATACATTTTAGTAGCACCGGGATAAATACTCAAGCCACTCTTATGACCTTCCTCAAGAATACACTTCTTAAGTTCGGGAACATCTGGTACACAAAACATATCTCTG